TCAAAATCCACATCTTGCGGCTTCATAAGTAGGATGGGTAATTTATGAATTGGCCCGAAAACTAATAATGTGAAATACTCGTGAACAACGTCAACACCCCTCCATAAGCTAGTATCCACTTCAGGCTCGGTCGTCGACCTGGTAGCCGCTTCAGGCTCGGTCATCGACCTAGTATCTACTTCAGGCTCGTTTGACGACCTGGCACCCACTTCAGGCTCGGACGACGACCTGGTACCCACTTCAGGCTCGGCTGACGACCTGGTACCCACTTCAGGTTCGGTCGACGACCTGGGAGCCAAGGTTGTTTGTCAGAAACGTCCGGTTCCTTCAGAGCCTGCAGCCACGACTTTAGGACCTATACCCACGACTTTAGGACCTACACACGCGACATTAGGACCTACACCAACGACTTTAGGACCTGCACCCACGACTTCAGGACCTACACCCACGACTTTAGGACCTACACCCACGACTTTAGGACCTACATCCACGACTTTAGGACCTGCACCCACGACTTTAGGACCTACACCCTCGACTTTAGGACCTGCACCCACTAAGAACAAGAAAGAAAGAAAGAAAGAAAGAAGAAAGAAAGAAAACAAAGAAAGACGAAGAAAGAAAGAAAGAAAGAAGAAAGAAGAAAAGAAAGAAAGAAAGAAAGAAAGAAAGAAAGAAAGGAAAAAGAAAGAAAAGAAAGAAAGAAAAGAAAGAAAGAAAGAAAGAAAGAAAGAAGAAAGAAGGACCTAGAAGAAAGAAAGAAAGAAAGAAAGAAAAGAAAGAAAGAAAGAAGAAAGAAAAAAGAAAGAAAGAAAGAAAGAAAGAAAGAAAGAAAGAAAGAAAGAAAGAAAGAAAGAAAGAAAGAAAGAAGGAAAGAAAGAAAGAAAGAAAGAAAGAAAGAAAGAAAGAAAGAAAGAAAGAAAGAAAGAAAGACAGACAGACAGACAGAAAGAAAGAAAGAAAGAAAGAAAGAAAGAAAGAAAGAAAGAAAGAAAGAAAGAAAGAAAGAAAGAAAGAAAGAAAGAAAGAAAGAAAGAAAGAAAGAAAGAAAGAAAGAAAAGAAAAAAGATAGGAATATAGGAAGAATGAAGGAAAGAAAAAAGTATAAGAGGAAGATGAAAAAAATCAAAAAGAAGAAGAAGAAGAAGAAGAAGAAGAAGAAGAAGAAGAAGAAGAAGAAGAAGAAGAAGAAGAAGAAGAAGAAGAAGAAGAAGAAGAAAGAAGAAGAAGCCGAGAAGAAGACGAAGAAGAAGAAGATCAAGAAGAAGAAGAAAGAAGAAGAAGAAGAAGAAAAGAAGAAGAAGAAGAGAGAAGAAGAAGAAGAAGAAAGAAAGAAGAAGAAAGAAAAAGAAAAGAAAGAAAGAAAAGAAAGAAAGAAAAGAAATAAAGAAGAAAAGAAGAAAGAAAGAAAGAAAGAAAGAAAGAAAGAAGAAAGAAGAAAGAAAGAAAGAAAGAAAGAAAGAAGAAAAGAAAGAAAGAAAGAAAAGAAAGAAAGAAAGAAAGAAAAAAAGAAAGAAAGAAAAAAAGATAAAGAAAGAAAGAAAGAAAGAAAGAAAGAAAGAAAGAAAGAAAGAAAGAAAGAAAGAAAGAAAGAAAAAAAGTAAGAAAGAAAGAAGAAAGAAAGAAAGAAAGAAAGAAAGAAAGAAAGAAAGGAGGAGGAAAAAAAGAAAGAAAGAAAGACTGAAAGATAGACAGGAAAAAAGTGAGAAGAAAAAAATGAAGATACAGAAGGAGGAGAAGAACCAGAAGGAGCTACAGCGGATGGAAGGAAGGAGGGTGGGTAACAGAAAACAAAATGGAGCAACTATGAGCTATTCAAATGACACATTTTCCTGTTGGTTTATGAGGCCGCACGGCAGATCCACGGAATATGCCTAGAGTGTTTGCAACGTCACGCTACTAGTAGCTGTCCTGTAGACAGACTGCGAACTCTAACAACCCTCCCAGTGCTTTTACTGAATTGTCTCCCTGTGTGAGTTCCCGATCCTCGTGGGGGGGGGGGGGGGGGGGGGGGGGAACGGGGGGGGGGGGGGCGAAGAAGGGAGACACACACGTAATACATCAACTGCCCAGTAACAACGAGTAAAAACCTCGCTCCAATATGGGACGCATATTATTGCTATTTTTTAAGCACCACCCCAGTTGAAGTCGGGGGACTCAATATAATCTAACGGTTGAACGGGTTTTGGGGAATTGTACTTGGGTGATCGTCACTTTGTGTCACAATGTGTTTATTGCTGGTGATGTGGTAGTAGTGGAGTTGAATGTCCGGGCACTTTGACTAAGTCACAGAAGCTCTAGAAAGCATGTCCTAAAAGGCGACTAGTAAGGATTTAGCAATAATCAGATATATTGTTCCGACAGGCGCAGATATCGCAGCCTCGGTGAATACCATAACACAACAGTGTTTATCGAGTAGATTTATACACAAATTAAATTACAGTTTCGTGAATTTGCAATACGTTTATTTTTTAAATTAATTTTCATTTTGAAAATAAATTAGTGTACTATTAGAACATATAAATTAATGAAAATAATACTTTACAGAGCACTAATTTATTTTAAAAAATTAGTAATTAATTTAAAAAAAAAATTGAAAATAATGATACTGAAGTTTAATTTGTGTATAAATCTATTATATAAACATAGTGAACACAACCGCCTTCTCGCAGTTGCACAAAAACGGAAATTTCCATTGACCTGGACTGCCTTATAATATGCTCTAGTGGGCCGGGGGTGTCAACGTTGCTGGTTTTCACCCATACTTTCTACGTTGCCATCCCAGTGCAAACCAAATGAAATCTCCCTCACGGTCTCATTTGAAACTATAAGTCCCGGCATAATCCAGAAATAAGAGCAGCAAATGTATATGGGAGTTGCTAGAGGTGCCAAAGCCTATTTCCCCAGCAGCCTCAGCGAAAATGTTGGGGAAGCGGAGGTGTCAAGAAAAACTCTTTGCTTTTTCTAATGCTGTCTGGTGTGCTGGTCTGAATCATATGGAAGATGAAAAGCTACAATCAGACTGGTACAGAAGGCAGAATCAGAAAATGATGTCAGTGACCACGCAATTCCACGCTTTTATGGAACAACACATTAGCAGTTACTACTACTAGTATCACTGCTGCTGCCGCATCTGCTGCTACTGCTACACATAATGCTACTAGTGCTGCTGAAAGTGCTATTACTACTGCAGCTACTACTACTACAGCTGCTGCTGCTACTACTACTACTACTACTACTACTACTACTACTACTACTACTACTACTACTACTACTACTACTACTACTACTACTACTACTACTACTACTACTACTATTACTACTACTAGCAGTAATACTACTACTAAGACTACGACTAATACGACTACTATTACTACTACTACTACTAATACTACTAATACTGCTACTAAGACTACGACTACTATGACTACTACTACTACTACTACTACTACTACTGCTAATGCTACTACTACCATTACTACTACTTACATTGGTAAGTCAAGGTTATAACCACAATAATATTAATAATAATAATAATAATAATAATAATAATAATAATAATATTAATAATAATAATAATAACATTATATCGCCGATGATAAAAAAAATGACAATAGTGATGATTATAATAATAAAAACCATAATAATAAATGCAATATTCATAGTCACAACAAGAATTAGAACTTACCTTCTGCCCAGGCCAACGATGACAGGCATATGAGACTGAGCAGGACCGGGACAAAGGTAACACACAGGTTATTCATTGATCTGCGGGCTTCTGGCACACCTGCAACATGTCAATAGATCTTATATCAAATGTGAGCTACCCTTTTCTCGTATAGTCATACACCAGTCTCGTATAGTCATACATAAGTCTCAGATAGTCATACACCAGTCTCGTATAGTCATACATAAGTCTCAGATAGTCATACATCAGCCACGTATAGTCATACATAAGTCTCGTATAGTCATACATCAGTCACGTATAGTCATACATCAGTTTCGTATAGTCATACACCAGTCTCGTATAGTCATACATCAGTTTCGTATAGTCATACATCAGTCTCGTATAGTCATACATCAGTCACGTATAGTCATACATCAGTTTCGTATAGTCATACATCAGTCTCGTATAGTCATACATCAGTCTCGTATAGTCATACATCAGTCTCGTATAGTCATACATCAGTCTCGTATAGTCATACATCAGTCACGTATAGTCATACATCAGCCACGTATAGTCATACACCAGTCACGTATAGTCATACATCAGCCACGTATAGTCATACATAAGTCTCGTATAGTCATACATCAGTCACGTATAGTCATACATCAGTTTCGTATAGTCATACACCAGTCTCGTATAGTCAAATATCTGTCTCGTATAGTCATACATCAGTTTCGTATAGTCATACACCTGTTTCGTATAGTCATAAATCTGTCTCGTATAGTCATACATCAGTCTCGTATAGTCATACATCAGTTTCGTATAGTCAAACACCACTCTCGTATAGTCATATATCTGTCTCGTATAGTCATATATCTGTCTCGTATAGTCATTTATAGGTCTCGTATAGTCATTCACCAGTCTCGTATAGTCATACATCAGTCTCGTATAGCAATACATCAGTCTCGTATAGACATACAGCAGTCTTGTTTAGTCATACATCAGTCTTGTATAGTCATACATCAGTCTTGTTTAGTCATACACTATTCTCGTATAGACATACATCAGTCTTGTTTAGTCATACACTATTATCGTATAGCCATACATCAGTCTCGTATAGTCATATATCAGTCTCGTATAGTTATACACCAGTCTCGTATAGTCATACATCAGTCTCGTATAGTCATACATCAGTCTCGTATAGCCATACATCACTCTCGTAAAGTCATACATCAGTCTCGTATAGCCATACATCAGTCTCGTATAGTCATACATCAGTCTCGTATAGTCAAACATCAGTCTCGTATAGTCATACATCAGTCTTGTTTAGTCATACACTATTCTCGTATTGACATACATCAGTCTTGTTTAGTCATACACTATTCTCGTATAGTCATACATCAGTACATATAGTCGTTTACTATTATCGTATTGTCGTACATCAGTCTCGTATAGTTAAACAACAGTCTAAGTAAGTCATACATCAATTGCACATAGTCAAACATCATTCTGATATAGTCATACACCAGTCTCGTTTAGCCATACAACAGTCTCTTGTAGTCATATACAAGATATGTATAGTCATACACCAGTCTAGTATAGCCATACAACAGTCTCTTGTAGTCATATACAAGATATGTATAGTCATACACCAGTCTAGTATAGCCATACAACAGTCTCTTGTAGTCATATACAGGAAATGTATAGTCATACACAAGTCTCGTCTAGCCATAGTGAAAAAAAAGTAAAGATCCCTTTTCACGCCTTTCGGCGCATCGGGCATATGGGCAGAGCGTCCCATATTTTTACAGACCATCAGCACTCGGTGGGTAATGTGGTCAGCATTACGCCGGCTGTCTTTACTTTCCCAGGACAGCCCATCTAGCCATAGTC